CAGGGGTGACACCCAACAAAGCGAGCCTGGCTGTAAGCTGAGCTGTTTCAGCTCTTCTGCCCTCAGAAAGCTCTGCCACGAGGGGCAACGGGGGTTCTCTCAAAGAAGTTTTGGGTATTCTGGGCACAATGAGGTTTATTGCTATTCAAGGCCTAATGCTTTATTCTTCTGTGCTCGTGCCTCAAGAAGTTTTCACCTAACCAGAAAATGAAGAGAAAAAGCAGGGCCTTCAGGTATGAGAATCCTGCACAGGTAAAATCAGACTTGGATTTCACTGAGAGAAGCCAACTGAGCTGTCATTAAGGAAGAAACCAAAGCAGCGTGGTTAGCCTTAAGCTACAGAAACCAGGGCTTTCCCTGTGACATGGAAAGCTCAGCCAGATAACTCCTGTCACGCCGTCATGAAGTGAATCAGCACTGCTGCTGGAGAGCTGTAAAGCCAAGCAGGCTTTGCCTGCAGTGGTAGCACGGAAATGCTTTCAGTTTGCTGCTCACAAGTGCAGAGGGGGCAGAGAAAGAATCACAGCTCAGTCACCACCACTGCAAAAACCACATGGCTGGATCCACACCCTCCTCCTCTTACTTGTTTGGCTTACCTTAACACAACAGGAAGCCCCCCATAAAGAAAGGGGCAATTCTGACACTGAGTTATCAAGAGTAGAGCAGAAAAAAAAAAGGCTCAGCACAAGGCTACAAGCACCCTTCTCTCCCAGATGTGCCATCTACTCGAACACTGAGTCATTTCAGGGCTGTGCTCCAAAATAACTCAGCGAGCCTAGCAAAGCCAACCAAGAGAATTAAGTGTGCTTGAACAACAGTTCAGCAGGAGCAAGCTATTACTGGATGAAGGAAGGAAATCAGCAGATGGGCAGCACACAGGAAGGGACATCCTGGCTGATCAAATAAAGGACCAAAGCATCCAGAGCATCACGGCTCGCTGGCTGTGAGTCACTCACATCACTTAATAATCAATGCTCTCTTCCTCTGCTGGGAGGATGCGTTCAGACCCCAAGGCCTTTCCTAAAACACTCTGAATGGACAAAGAGTCACCTCTGTTCTCATTCCAGCATCATTCCCTCCTACCTGGTACTGTGAAGTCCTGAGTGTAGATGATATCATCTTCAATGTCATACAAGTCATCATCTTCGTCCTCATTGTAGCCATGCAGATCTTCCAGATAAGGCACCGCCGTCATACTTCTCCACTTGTCCTTTGTTTCTGGGCTAGGAGGTATGGGCACCAGAGTCTCTGCCTGAGCGTGTTTCTTACGAAACCAACTGCAAAGAGTCCAAGAGTAAAACTTCCATCAGGACAGCTTCACTTTTCTGAAGGCAGAAAGAAACCCTCAGCAGCATGGGATGACCCCATCCCACCCCCATTCAGAGCTGCGTGGAGTTAAGGAGAACTTCCAAGGCAACGCCATGCCACTGCAGGCAGAACACATCCACAGCTCTCACAGTCAGAACTACCTTCTGAACACAGCCTGGTTTCCTGGTGGGCACTGATATCAACCCCCTCCCCTGGCACTGTGGTCTGGATGTCATTTGAGCACTAGCACAAGAAGAAAAGAAACTCAGCCTATCAACTGCACTCTTGTGCTCATCTTGCTAAATATTATGTGGACATCACTTATCTGCACAAAGGGACGCTCAGACTCTTCCACAGCAGGCCTGGAAAGCATTTTTTTCCCCCTCCCCTGCTCTTATTTCCTACTGTAGGCCACCAAAGTGTGCTGCCTTGGAATCAACTGCAAACAGCCCTCAAAAAGCAGAGAGAGCTAAACACAGCACTGTCTGTTCACCTCCTGCAAAAGTGGCATTCTAATAAAGTCACTCAGCAAAAGGAAGGAGTTAGGAGATGAATGAAAGCATAACCACCAGGACTGGGAGGAGGGATGGACCTCAGCTCAAAGCCCTGCTTCTCAGCTGGGACCCTCCAGCATTCCTCTGCAATAAGATGGAGTTGTGGAGGGAGGCAGCACCTTGCCTTCTGCAGTACCAGAGAGTGAGGCAGCCCCTACTTCAGTAGGTGAAATTCCAACAGGAAATCTGTTGTGGTTTGTCACGTTGCTGTCATGCACAGAACCACATCTGGCCCTTCCCTGCTCAGCCTGCATGGAGGAATGACCCTGGGAGGTCAGCACATCCCAGTCAGGCACTGGCAAGGATCCACCAGCACTCCTACAGCTGCAGCCTGGTGAAAGCAGCATCTTTTGGGAAGGTGACAGAACGTGTTAAGTTCGACCTCTGGTGCACAGAGCAGCATTACAAGAGCAAAGGAAAGTTCAGGAAGCCAACAGGACCAGCATAACTAGATTTGGGCCAATGGCTTTAGCAAATGCTGTGGCTGGCTTCCTCAGCGATGTGCGTGGCACACAATGCTCCTAATTTGATCATTTGATTTCCTTTCCTTGGGAGACTGCTTTCATCAAGGAACCGACTGCCAAGATAGAGCACAGCGCCTGGGCTGACCCAGCACAGCCATCAGCTGCTCCTGCCAGGGGCACTGGAGCTAAAGGGAACCAAACTAAATGCCAGGGACCCAAAGGGAATGGAATACACTGGAGAAATGAGATCAGAATGACTGCCAAAGAAAGGAATATTTTAAAGGGAGAAAGCCCACAAATCTCCAGCAGCTGAAATGCAGCAAAAGAAAAACACTCGCTCTGCCTCTTTCTTTCCTTCTGTCCTACTTACCAGGAGAGTAAAAATAGGTTTTTATTAACAGCTGAAACCTGAATCACTGTACTCCAGTCATAATGATCCCATCCTCTGGGAGGTGATTTCAAATACTTGCATATGCATACATGGTAATGAGGCTATAGAGTGAGCAGAGCAATTCATTGAAGTTCTAAGAAAATCAAAGTCCTCTTGGAAGGAGCCTGGAGCAATTCTTCATGGAGTAGCAGAGCATTTCCTGGCAAGCAATTTTCCAGCAGGGACAGAGATGCTGCTCTCTACACCAGCACTAAATGTGATCAGTGAAGATTTGCTGAGGACCACAGTCTCCCCCAAACGCCCTGCTCCTGCTCAAGGTGCTGCTGACTGGCTGAGCCACAGAGCAGCTCCATTCCCATCAGTGCTGAGGATGGAACTCAGCACTGCCTCACTGCCTTCACCAACACAAGATCACAGCCTGGGTCTGAGCACTGCTGACAGTGTCTATTTCACTTATTCCCAAACAATTTTACTAGTGATTCCTGAGTCAATTGCACCAGCGCACACAGCAGCTTACCCAGTGTTACAGCAGGCTGCTGTTTAATCAGTTAGGGGAAAATAAGTTTCTGCAGATCTCAGAAGCACTGCCTGCACACAGCATCCTCTGGCAGACTCCTTGCAGCCCGTGAGGCTGTTTTAGCTGCTCCCAGGCCTTAAAATTGAGCAAAGGGAGCAGCAGCAGAGATCACCCTCTCAAGCTTTGCAAGCTTGTTAAGAACGCCTGCAAAGCATGGGCTCTGGACAGCAGCACAGCATTAATTGTGAACCTGCCAGACAAGAAGCAGGGTCCAGACAGAGCTGCTATGATCTACAGGGAGCTAAGATAACAAGGGTCAAGGCTGAATGAAAAAAAGGATCTGGGTCAACCAGTGCTTATTGAGTCTGTCTGCTCTGCAGCCTCCCAGCTCGGATTTTGTATCAGAAGTCATCACACTGCTCTTCCCAAGTTCTGGTATAAGCAAGGTTAAAATAAGAACCAGTAAGCACAGCTGCCTCCTCTGAATACTTACAGCTAATTCACTTCCCATTCTAGGCCACAAATATTTCAGTTTGCTTGTTTTGGATATGGAGAGCCTTCTCTGCAAGCAGATGTTGGGCTGCAGATCGCTGTCCTGCCAGCGAGGAGCAGCTATGAAAGCTTTGCCACCTCCCATGGTGCTGCCTGAAGGCTCCAAGCTTACAGAAAGGTCACAGTCACCACAAGAAGCAGCCAACTGCACGCCTGCCCTGCTCAGCAGGCACACAGCACGGCCCCTGCAGCCACTGCTCCAACTCCTGGAGCAGAAAGAGGTGCTCCGCTCCTCAGGTCAGTTGCATTAGAAAACAAACAAACAAAAAGCAAACAGGTAAGAGAAGCAGCTCTCCCCTCACTGATGCAAGACCCAAAGGTCACAGTTCAGACTCCTACAGAGAGAGGTGTTCTGTGCACAGATGGAGACTCACTTTCCTTTCACGCAGCAGTCGCATTACAAAACTGAGCTGCAAAACGTGGGCAGAAGAACCAAAGCCTCCCTCCCTGCCATGTGCCTGCCACAGGGAAGCAAGACAGAGCCAGGTGCCTGTGCAGGAAAGGAAAGGAAGAGAGCTCACATCACCAACGCACGGAGAGATCCCTGCAGGGCACCACAGCAAAGGGGTGGAAGGGTCCAGCAGCACAGGCACACACGTTAAGGGAAACCCCCCCAAGTCAGGCACAGAAGCCAAGGAGCAAACTCAGCATCTGGGAAGGAACCCAGAGAGACAGAGGGGGTTCCCCAGGGCTGCAGTGCACAGGTATGCAGCACAGCACAGCAGCACTGTGTTCCCAACCTCTGAGGTGATCCCGGAGTCGGGAGCAGCACAGCATGTCAGCAAGCAGCGCCGCTAACGAGAGTTGGAGGTGCCTCCCCTGCCTTGCTATAAACTCTTGCAAACGTATCTATGAGTGAACAAATTACGTGTGACACTTCTGGAGAAGGAAGGCAAGATGGTTGCCTTGGAAACAGGGGACAGAGGTAGAATTCTGCATCCACTTCATCACTTTAAGTGCTGCAGCAGGGTCAGGGAATTAGTTACAAACTGCAGTGTACAAGCATTAAGCCCTTCAGCAAAAGCACGAGGCAGAGAGGAGACCATGAATGATCTGCAGGGAGAGGGCAGCTGCTCCCTGGCTCTCAGCAGCACATCCTCACTGCTCCACACCCCCACCCAGGAGTACACAGCAGTCATGGAGGTGAACTAAAAGTGTCAGTTTTCATTGAGCATCATCCTCCCCAGATCCTTCTGGGAAAAGCAGGTTTCAAGGCTCGTTCATTGTTATTCAGGGGTCAGCTTCTGGTGGTTCAGAAACTTGGATGACAGGCTGGGAGAGTTTTAATTCATTGCAGTTTACAAATCCTGGGTCCATGCTGCATGCTTTGCTTTGAAATGCTTTTCAAACCGTCAAGAAATGGGCTGAGAGAAGTAATTCAGCAGGACCGAGCTAACAAGAAAATGCTGAAACAGGAATTTGATGTGAGAATTCAGCTGCAGAAGTGAGGAGAGGAGGAAGGCAGCTGGCAGATGCAACACTGGGCAGATCCTTCCTACAGAATTCTTCAGATAGGGCTGCCACTGCAAGGGAAAAGCATTCAGAATGGCTCTGAGAACAAAGGGAGGAACTGACTGCTTTGCCCCATCAAGCTGCCTCCAGCAGCTACAGGGCTTCACCAAGCAGCACTCAACTCCTGCTCAGCATTCCCCACATCCACTGAGAAAGCCTCGTGCCCTCAGTGCTGCACCAGAAGAGAGGCATCACTGTACAGAAGGAGCAACTTGGCCACTCGTGCAGCTCAAGAGGGCCAAGAGGAGTGTAGAAACCCAAAATCGTTGTTGAGCATCACTCCTCCCTCCACCCCAACCAGATGTCTACAAATTCTAGACATCAGGGCACTTTCTACCAAAATGCTTTCCCCAAACCCTCTGACAGGACCTGAATGACTACCTGCTGTCCTTCCAATTGCTTTGTTTGGTTTTAAATAAAGCAGGGTCTGCTCGAGCTAAGGGCAAAGCTTGCTTCTATTTAGAGAAAAAAAAATGAAAAGGAGAGAACCGAGCCGGATTCTTTAACACAGTGCTGCCCCACAAAAAGGAGATGGGCAGCCACATCGGAAGCCCAGGGCTGCAGGCTCTGCTGTGAGTGATGTAATTATTAGGATGCCACAGCAGGAAGAAGGAGGCAATTACTAATAGGGGAGAAAAGCCTGTTAAGAAGCACTGGCTAAGCTCACAGAAAACCAATAAGAGACTGAACCTTGGAAATGCTCCTGTGTTCACAGGTACAGTCTCTCTTCAGTCTCTATTGGTGCTATGAGATTAAAGGCTCACCAGGAGCAGCTGTGCCCAATTAGAAGGCAGGCTGTGCCCACACAGCACAGAGATGCTGCTGCCCCCCATGCCAGGAGCACACTCTACTTCCTCCTGCCTGCTACCTCCAGGCAGGGCCTCTGGAGAAACCTCTTGGCTTCAGAGCTGATGCAAAAGCTCCCTGCTAAAACCAGGTACATAAGGAGCTGGGTAAGTAGCTCAAACCCCGGCAGACAGGAACACATGAGAGCCACCTACACTGGCCCAAGCTTAGGGGCAGCTCAGTGCAACACCTGGACCCACAGCACTGCTAAGGAACAAATGCTTTTGGCATCTCAGTGCTTTCACTGACATACCTGCTGATCTGCTCCACACAGTTAATTCCTGCCTGCTCCCTCGCTGTGCTTACTGACAAGGCATCACTTGGAGCTCGTGGCAGCTGCTCACCACTCAGCATCACTGCAACGAGCAGAACTATTCCATTACAAAGCACCACAAAGGGATGCAGTGCTTTGCTGTCTAGCTTGAAGCTCTCTAGCCCTCAGAGGAAGATGGGAGGACTGTCACTAACAGCAAAGAGCTATTGTTTCCAAGACCATTTCTATATAGAGTGGTGAGCAGTTTTTAAGTGCTGTACAGCATTGAAGAGGCCAGCCCCAAGCAGTGTCTTTTGTAACCCACTGTTTTACTGGGAAGCATGTACATGGGGCAGGGCACTCTTGAAAAGCAAATGCCTGCTCCTGTCATCTCCCAGACCCAGAGAAACAACCAATGCACAGCACCTGGAGACGATTAGAAGACTCTGCCTGACTGCTTAATTAATTACCCAGGCAGCTACATGAGCTTTGCCCCCTTTGATCTTTGCAGGGGCAATTGCAGCTGCTCCTCTGCAGAACACCAGTGCAGTTCAAGCCTGTCTGCTTCTGTTCTCCAGCTCCTGCAGACATCTCCCATGCCATAACATCTACCAGGGACCCTCATCTGACAGCACACTGTTACCCACTGCCACTTCTTTTTTTTCCTCAGAGAAACAAACAGAGAAAACAAAAATAGTGCTCTTCCTGCCTGCAGGCAGCACAAAGCAGGCCCATTGCCTTACAGGATCAGAGCCTTGTTTTTACAAGGCTCCCAGAAGCTTTCTGGGCAAGCTTGTAGGCAGGACCTCTGCTGAGCATCTGCGGTCCAGCAGGCAGCTCTGCATGTCCTCAGAAGCACTTCCTATTCAAACAGGAGATAAGCTAATGCAGCCTCCGCACTGAAGCATCCTTATGATGCTTTTTTGTTCTTGTACTTTTATCCGCCCAGGAAATCTCTGCTCAGAGGCAGCGTGTTCAAACAGATCCTTCAAAAAAGGGGAAAAAAACCCTCAGATAACGACCTTTCCCCCCTGTCCTCACCCCCCCCCAAAGGCAAGGATAAAGCAGAGGATTTGGGGGAAGGAGGAGGATGACATTAAAGAGAAAAAAAATCCCATTGTCCTGGAACATACTGATTCCATATGGAGCAAATATGAAGGGATATTTCTGTCACCAGGCTGTCCAGAAAGCCAACACATTACTGAAACCAGCTTCAGGGAACCCCTGCTCCATCAGTGCTAGCTGGCCTCTGAAACAAATTACCCAGAACCCTTAATTATCAAGAACCAGTCGCACTAGGGACATATTTTCAACATATTCATTATTTACTGGTTAGCAATTCAAATGCTCTAACCGGATGCTCTAATAGGAGGGGGAAAAAAAGCCAAGTGGATGTTGCCAGAGCTCCAGCAGAGCTGGAGGAAGGTTATCTAGTGACTTCCATGTGTCTGCTGTCAAAAGGAAAAATGAGTTGAGAGCAATAGCATAGGTACATTAGCATAAGAAGCAGAAAGAGAATGACTAATAGGAAGAAGCTGAACACTCACTTGTGCTGCCTTATCTGCTGTATTGAAAATCTCTTGGCTGGGTCGTATTCAAGCATCCCTGAAAAGGAGAAAAAGTCCAGGTGTGAACACAGAGGCTCTCAGCCAAGCTGAAGACGAGAAGCATAAAGTGCTGCCCTTCCCTCCCACCCCCCTGCCCCTGTGCCTGGCCCTCCTGGCAGCTTTGGGCACTTTTACCTGCAGAAGCGTTTCTTGCGTCAGCCCCAGAGAGCTCAGCACAAACCCCAACCCGGACTCCTGATCCACCTGCAAGGTGGAAACGACCTCTCCCTCCTTCACCCTGCAGGGACAGACTGGTACAGCCCCAGATCACAGGCCCAAACGAGTCTCCAGGCAAGGAACTGCAAGACTTTGCATTTCACAGGTAACGCTATTGAAGTTCCTCTGTGGAACAGCCCAGGCCTCAGGCACGACACATCCACCTGCTCAGCATCCCCGAAACTCTACAGCCCAGTGATATTCTGATCTGGAAGAACAGCTGGGGAGAACTGACACAAACCATCCTGCTGCCCATCCCACCATCCATCCTTCTGCCTGAGCCAGTCTTGATTTCTGGCACCTGTTGCTGGGATTAGGGTGAGGAGAAGGGAATGGGGAGAAAAAAGCTTATCTGGATCCTCCCTGGAAAAGGAGGAGGTGATTCCTTACAAAGCAGACTATGAGATGCCCGCTCTGCTCCACGATCTCAAAAAAGCTTCACAACTCCTCAGAAGTGACAGGAAATTCTGCTGTATTTTTCAGAGGCTGTTCAGTGGGACCTAACGAGCATCATCCAGCAGAATCCAAAATCCCTCCAACCGAGCTTCCAAGAACATATTCATCTAATGGGCATCAAACTCTCACTGCTATGCATTGCAAGCAGCTTTGCATCTGCTGGATAAAAGCCTCTCGCTGTTCTTGAAGCACCAGCAGAAGGGCTTTGGGAAGAGGGGAGAGAACACTGCAGGGAGCTGAGGGGAATGGAAACCAGGAGCAGAACAGATCTCTCAACAGGAGAGAAAGGATGGGACAACCGACTGGGGAGGGCTGCTGTAAGGACACAGTGGACACACAGGGACAGGAGGTGCCTTCAGATGAGCATTTGGGAACAGAGGGCTGGAATGAGAAAATGCCATTTAAATAAGAAGCTGCGAGGGCCTTGCAGGTGAGATTCTGCAGCGCTGCTGAACAAAGGTATTAAGAGAGAGAAATCAGTGTGTGATCAGAGCTGCTCAGCAACACCTTCCTCATCAGATCAGTCTGCATCACATATCACTAACAGCAACGACCCAGGGACGACTGGAATAACACAAAACAAGCAGAACAAAACCAAAAACAGGAAGGCACTGTGAGTACCTCCTCTTTTGCAAGGCTTGAACACTCCAAACAAGTGCATGCTTAAGGAAACAAGCTTTTGATAGCCATTTTTTCTTCCTTACAATGAGATTTTTCTTTTCCCCCAGCAGATCAAGAGCTTCCTTCAGTTCAGTTTTAGCCTGTATCCCCACGAGCCCAACAAGGATGCAGAAGTCCATCCCCTGCTCCTAAAAGCGCTGAGCTGAGTCTCAACTCCAAACCTGACAGCAGGTTCCTCACACAGTGCTCTTGGAGCAGCCACTTCTGGAGATGACATGAAAGGGTTGGGAAAACACCTTGTGAAAGCCTGGTCCACTGCATCACACCAAACCAAAGGGATTTGAGAAGAGTCATAGCTGGGGAACCAGCCCCACTGCCATGTCTGCTTGCCTAAGAGATGTTCAAGACTAGAGCATATAGCAAGAAAAGGCACAGTGTGAAAGGACTGATGTTGTTTTCCCCTCAGAAACCAAAATGCTGTTTGCCACAGCAATCTGAAAAGATTTATCAGTGCTGATGACAGCAGGAATAGCTTTAAGCAGATGGCATCGCTATTGATCCACACTGTATCACTGTGATGGAAGTTAAGAACAAGCAACCATGGGAAAACTTGCTGGGTGCACCACAAGCATCTGGTCACCTGAACTCGAGGCAGCAGAGCCTTCAGCATTCAAGGCTTTAAACAGAACTTAGCAGAAATGCACTCCAGCCTTGCTGAGACCACAAAACCCACCACAAGGCTGCGTCACACGGCTGAGCCGACAGCAATCGCTCCTTGCTCAAGAACCCTCAGCCTTGAGAGCACTTCCCTACACTGGGTATTTTCTCAAGCAGAACAAAGCCTCGTAAACAAGCAGACAAGGCTGCAACTGGACCAGAAGTGGGAGCACGTGGCAGGAGGTGGGTGGTGACAGTGCCAAAAGCTGCGCGGCTCAGTTGTGTGTGCTGTAAGGACCACCACCAGAAATGTCTTGGGCTGGGCTTAAGGTAAGAGCGAGAGGCAGGAAGGGACATTTGAGCCACCCACAGCAGAGAAAGGACTGATCCTGAATCTTGCTAGCCTGCAAAGTGCTGCAACAACAACAACAGCAGTGTTGTTCCATAGGGCTGATCCCAACTTGTTTCCTCAGCTAAGCCATCGTTCGTTCAACCACACTTCAGAAACTCCCCCAGTCCCAGGTAAAGAAAGGCTGGAAGGGACCCCAGGGATCCCAACACTGCAGCCTCCTGCTCACAGCAGGCTCCCCTGAGCACATCACCCAGGACTGAGTCCAGTCAGGCTTCCAGTCTCTTCCTCCAAGGATGTCAGACCCACTGCCCCCCCAGCACTCAACCAGTAAAGGAGTTCTCACATCCAGGTGAGATTTTCCCTCTTTGTTCTGCAGTTTCTCTCTTCCCTTGCAAAGTGAGCAGAAAGAGGTTCAGAAGAAAAACAAACAACAACTTTTAAACTGAATGGCCTATTGGTAAAATCATTGGTAATTTGACAGTAACTTCACAGCTGAGCTTCCAAGGGTTTCTGTTCATTTGTCTAGGAGACACTGGAGCTGCTCCTGGCAAGGTTATCTTATCAACATACCCAGGTCAGGACTGCTCCCCTGCACTGACTCTTCAGACCATATTTCAGAAAGGTGTTTTTGGAAGCCAGTTTCTCAAGCCTGGGATAAAATCCTGCACACTCCAGCAGATACAGCTACAAGTTCTTCCTAGAAACATCACGTGCAGTGGTACTGCCCCAAGGCTCTGGTGATCAGTTTGTGCATTTCTCTGCAGGAGCTGGAACAGCCTTGCAAGCAGCTTGAAGTTGGAGGAAAAAATCGTGCATTCTTTCAAATGCTACAGAACAACAAGGCTAAGAGAAATGTAAGGCAGTGATCAGATGGAAGCGGTGCAAACAGGGCAAGGTTCCAGGGTAAGTTATTAACAGGGGTCTGATAGCACCAGTCACAAACTGCTCTGGCGTAGAGCAGCACTGTTATCTTACAATCAATTAAAAAGGCACAAATAAGGTAAATGAGCAGCAAGAAAGCTTCCTTTAAGGAAAAAGACTGTATTTGGGGCAGCGTCAGGAAGAAAACAGAGCATCCAATCATCAAAAACGTACAGTGATGTGCTCAGCTGTGACTCACTTGCAGCAGGCCTGCGGCCGAAGTCCTGCAATTTCATCACGACAAAACATCAACTGCTCACCAGGCAGAGCATCACGAGCGCCTGCCCACAGCAGCCACACGAACTCTCTACCATTTACGGTAAAGATCTCCATGCAGATGATCTGCGAGTGGAGAAGAGAGGCTGCAATGGGGAGAATCTGTGGGAAGATGCCTGGCTTTCGGACCTCCAGCCCGTGGGATTCCAGCAGGACGCACTGTGCCCATATGTGGGATGCCACGCTTGTGACAGCCTGTGACAGGGACAGGGCTCTCAAACCCCTTTCAAATTCTGCCAAGGGGCAACGTGGACACAGAGACCACAGTCCTGTTTAAGCTCCTTGTCACAGACAGCAGCTGAGGTGTTGGAATGATCCTGAGCAAGCATGGTGTTACATGGTGAGGAACGGCTGCTTACAAAGCAGGCAGCACAACCTGAAGCACGTTCATTCAGAGGCAGGAAGAAATCCAACAGCTCGAGTTTATCAAATTCAACCTGGGCTTTACTTCAGTCTTTCACTCGGTGACCACTTTAAGCCATCGATATAAAGCAGAACTTTAGTGAAGTGAGATGGATTTTTCTCCTCTCCTTCATCCTCCTCAAGCACAACCAGGTGTCCTGACCAGAAACTCCTCTGCAGAGGAGCCTTGAAAAATGCAGGACACTTTGTGCTGGATGGTTACAGGCCCAGCTCAGGGGATTCCCTGTTACTACTGCATTAAAGCATCCCATTGCCATCAGAAACGCATCCCTGACATTTAAGGTCACAGCAGTTGAACAGAAGTAAGAAAACAGAACGCTGAGAAGCCACCCAACTCATCTCCACTCACAAAACCAGCTTGCAGCAGAGCCTGGACATAAACCCAGGTGTTTAATGCAGGGAGTGCAGTCTCAAAACTTCAGAGAAAGCACAGAGTCCATTAGAAGAGGAGAAAAGCTCACCCTCTGCATTTTTCTTGCTCAGAATTGAACTGGACAGAAGTCAGTAAGTCACATGCAGATGCCCACAGAAGGACCTCAAGGCTATTTGCAGATGCTTCCTGACTGCAGACACAGAAGGCAGAACAGTACCAACCCCTTTCCCACCAGCAAAGAGCATTGTTTGTGATTATGGGACACATAAAAGCTTTGTTTCTGATTATGGGACAAGGAGAGGGGCAGCATCCCAACTGTTGGTTGAAGTACGCTGCCACAAGTCAAATACCACACAAGTTTTAGGTCCCCTAAATTCTGCTTTTTCTGCAAAGTGGAACAAAGCAAGGTAAAAAAAGTTAAAACGCTGCTTCAAAAGTGGTCAACTAAAGGACAGAAAGCCTTAAGAAATAAATTCAAGCACTTGTTTCATGGGCAAACTGCCACAACGGTCAACGTAACTCTTATAGCCAGAGAGCAAACAAGCACTTTGCAGCACACTGAATTCTCCTCACATTAAGGACAGGATGAACGCTTGCAGCACTGCAGAGTGCTCTAGTTGTTTAGAAACAACACTAAGGCAAAACAGAATCTACAGTAAGACAGAGCTGAGCTCAGGGTGTCTGTGCTGCTATATGAAAGCATCAGCCTGCCACCGATGCCTGATCTGCAGCCTACGATTCCATGGCACCTACCAGGAAATGCAGATGTTCTGGAGGAAAAGCATGAACCAAATAAAGCACTCCAGTTCTGCCACCACAGCTATGCAGCATCACCCCTGCAAGGCTCAGCCCTGGTGCTCAGTGCCATCAGGCTCTTTTGGGAGCTGGTTGGTGCAGTTGCTGAGCCGCCCTCCATCATACTGGAAAAGTCGTGGCTGTCAGATGAAGTCCCCACGGACTGGGCAAAGGGAAATGTCACTCCCATTTATAAGAAAAGGAGGAAGGAGGACCCAGAGAACTCCAGGGCATTGAGCCTCATCTCTGGGCCTGAGAAGATCGTGGAACAGACCCTCCTGAAGGACGTGTTAAGGCACACGTCAGATGGGGTGGTGATTTGAGCCAGGCAGCACAGCTTCACCAAGGGAAGGTCGTGCCTGACCCATCTGGTGGCTTCCTGTGATGGAGTGATGGCATCGGTGGACAAAGGAAGGGCACCTGGAGGGCAAGATGCTGGGAACAGCTGCCCAGAGAGGCAGTGGATGCCTCCCATCCCTTGAGGTGCTCAAGGCCAGACTGGATGGGGCCATAAGCAGTCTGATGCAGTACTTGAGCTAGCAGTCAGCAGCCCTGCCTGTGGCAGTGGGGCTGGAACATGATGATCCTTGAGGTCCCTTCCAATCCAAGCCATTCTACAATCACAGACAGAGGAAAACGTATCACACCAGGCAGGAATAACAGCTTTTGTCAGCTTCACTGTGCAAGTGCATACAACAAGAGGAGCGGGAGAATGTTCTGAGGTGGACTGGAGGGAGGACAGCAAAAGGAATCTTATTTCCTACTGTTCTGGAAGAGCCAAATTGGTAGAGACAGATGGCCATGTGCCTCAAGCGAGCTCCTCTGCTACCAGGTGCATTCAGCATGCATCCCTGCAGCACCCAAAGGCAGACAGCAGCTGGATGGAAGAAGTGACTCAGGCACATCTTGGACAGCAGCACCGGCTGCAAGGCTCCTTGTTTAAAGTGAGGCAGAAGGAAAAGTTAGAGAGTCTGACTGAGTCTCATCCAGGGGATGGAAAAGCAACCAAAGGGAGTTATTCTGCTAATGGAGCATAAAGCTTTGAAACTATCAATATCCCGAGGACAAGAAAAGAAAACACAACCACCCTTCCTCTGGGGATGATGCTAAGTGCAACAGTGAGGCTTACCACAAACTTCATCTGTTTCTGCTGGATGCTTCATAAGACTGCTACCAGGCTAGATGAACCTTTGGATTTACTCCATTTGGACAAATCCTGAGCTCATAAAGAGCTGCTGTGCTTTCAGCCAGCATTCTCAAAGCAAACACCACATGTAGATTGGGACACTGCTGCCTGGGGCACAGAGCACAGCAGCCAGAAGTGCTGGGCCTTCAGTTGTAGCCATATCTGTAGCTACACCCGATGCAACAGTTTCCAAAGGCTGCTCAGGCCACTCAATGCTTTGAAACACGTGCAGATTACTTATTTCATCACCAGTATAGGACCAGAGGAGCTAAATCAGCCTCAAACAAGGAGGCTCACAGGGATTCTGCACTGCAGAGGTAGAGAAGCCAACCATTTGTAGGGTAAATAAAAGCTGTGAGTGCTCTGAAACTCTTATGGCAAGCCACAAACTGCAGCAGCACTGTGCTGTCCTCAGTACGGTTACAGCAGGCAGGTTTAGCAATGAACAGCCATATCAGGAGCTGACCTGACGACACTGCGGACAGCAGGAAGCGAAGCTGACTCAGCTTCCTCAGCACCCCACAGCCACTCACCCACACTCACCCCCAACTGCTTGCAAGAATGAAACAAACACAAAAAAAAAAACACCATGTGAAACAACACAGCTTCATTTCATATTTGAAGCCAGACCCTTCTTGAATGGCTGAAGACGAAGGGAAGTGAGTAAACCTGTGCTGAGGAATGGGGAGCATACTGCATCTATATTCCTCTGGGGAGGCAGCAGGAATTCTGATCAGGATCTCCCATGTCCCACTTGCTGCTACACAACCAGCAATTGGGAGAAGAGCCCACAAGCAGCCAATCCTCTCCTCCTACCCAAAAGGTGCTATTCCTATCTCTACCACAGGTTCCAGCCACCTTTGCTCCAATATCTGCAACTGAAATTTCAGGGGAAGGGAGAAGACAACTGGGATTAAAGCACTTTAGAGCAGAGGCTGATGAGGAAGGACAGCAGAACCTGAGTACTCGTTATTTCACAATACAAAATGCCTGGGCAAGGAATTTAATCAAGTATCCTCACCTGTCATTGTAAATTTAACCTCGTGAGCTCTGTCTTCAGATTTAAAAGCTGCTTAGAGCACAAGAATCCATGTGAGAACCAACCTTACAAAGTACAGTTCACCAAGGGTTTAGTGCAGCTCAGGAGAACACCAGTACTCTGGATCTTTGTCTTACCCCCAAGTAAATTAGCCTGCCTCCCTTTCTCATAGGATCCTATACCATCACAGGATACTCAGAACAAAACTCCCCAGCCTTTATGAGCAGAGCATGTGCTGCACCTCTAAATTTTACCAGTTCACTCTGAGCCACCTGGGAGACTCACCTCTCAACAAGTCTGAGAGTGGAGGACCACAATCCTCTGGAATTGTGAAGTCACCTTTCCCGATGTTTTCAAATAACTTATATATATTATCCCCTTCAAAGGGGTAGAGACCCGTTGTAATGTTGTATCTGTAAGGCAGAAGGAGAAGCTGTGTGAGATGAAGCACAGAGAACAGGTGCTCAGCTCTCATGCGATAGCACAAACCAAAAGGAGGTAAGACAAACTAAGAGATGAATATCTGGCAGTATTTGGAATGCTTCTTCTAACTTTGCCTTTCTGTATCACAGCCTCTTCATTCACATGAGTCAGTACCACAAAGACAGGCTGGGATGGAAGAAACTTTTAAAAATAAATACTAGAGATACAAGCACTTTGTGGTTTCTATTATTACAGCAGCTGCGTATCTCAGATTCTGAGAAACGGCTGGCAGAGACTCACTAAGAGAGGAGATGACTTTATCCAGAACTGCAAGCACTTCAGGGAACATGCACACATCCCAAGGATGGGCCAAGCTGCACAAGCCCCCCCAGCCCCCCAACTCCATGCACAAGAGCAACGGTGACAAGAGATGGCACAGGACTGCGCTGCGTGGGGCCGTGTGATTTGTCACTGCAAGTCCTGGATGCTGCATGGGCACTTACAGCGTCACCCCTGCGGACCAGATGTCTACTTTAAAGCCTGAAAAGGTATCAAGGCCATTGGCAATTTCTGGTGGCTGGAATGCTGGCGACCCTTGGCTCGTTCGGCACGTGTCATCCTCTGCAAATGGATGCAATGCCTGCAGCAGAGAGAGCCATTAGTTTCAAACTTCCAAGGCATGCAAGCTGTAACTGCTCAGAACTTTCACAAAGGGGGAAAACTACTGAATGTCTGCTCACATATCATGAGAACGTGCAACTGTGATTAAACACCATCAGTGACATTTCCTTTGCCAACCCTACCTAGCTAAGACAGTCTCCATATATTAAGAAGTACAAGGTTATGCTGCTTATCAATTTCACCACGCTTCTGGGCTTTTCTGGGTTTATCTGAGATTAACACCCTCCTCTAAAAGCTTCCTGGATGGAAGTTTGGTGCTGCTATCAACAATGAGATAGAAGTGTTTTGCCAGTTACAATGAATATTCAGAGCCACTCCAGAGCATTCTGCAAGTTCAGCAGAACAATCAATAAGTCAATTGATCCCCCAGAGGTGATATGAATCCTGAAAGTCACACTTCCCACTTCACTGCAGCTCTCACGTACCTCTGCTACGCCCAGATCAGATATTTTCAGCGTCCCATTGGTGGTCAGCAGGAGGTTCCCAGGTTTTATATCCTTGTGGACAATCCCTTGGCTGTGCAAGTACTCTAAGCCATCTATAAGCTGACAGAAGTACCTAGAGGAACAGGTAAAGAAAACAAGAGTCCAGCGCTTCCGAAGATTAAAAGCATGAACCATCAATAATACAGAAAGTGTTGTACAGTGACAGCATGGCAACAACTGCTCACACACTTATTTCTGATCTCATGGCATGCAGAAATATTACCCATCTTAAGGCACCTGCATTTCACTGAGGCCTCCTGTAACCTCAGACATCCATCTCCAGAACTCTAAGGTTCCTTTAAGTGCAATGGGCTTCAGATGAGCCTGCCCACCAACAAGCTAACAACCATGCTGGATATGGACAATTCTTCACCTACTAGAGATCTTTCATCTCTTTTCCTGACACTGAGCTGCTTGCACCATCCCATTTAGAGCAGGCAAGCCCTCACACCTTCCTCCACTGCACACATCCTAGCAGAATGACACAGGAAGGCCAGGAAAGGTTGTCATGCATCTCTTACAGCAAAAAGCAGCAAAAGTCAAGAGAAAGATGCTTTTCTTCCCAGAATCAAAGGGTTCTCTCTGCCATGGCTTCGTTAGGCTGTCATTTTTTCCCCCATGGCTGGAACAAACGGGCTCATTACACCAAGCCAGTTTCACTCAACGGGCAGCCAGCAGTGTAACAGAGCAGAGTGCACCCTTGAATTTAAGAGAGCAGCGACGAGAAGCTGATGCAGCCTAAGGAACAAACCTGTACTCACCCATGAGCCTGAAAAACTGGAAACCTCTTTTCTGGGACACTGTCCAGCATCTCCTGCATCCCACACACGCAGTACTCCATCACCATATACGTGAAGTCAGTGTTAAGGAAGCTTCAGGGTAAGCTGCTTTCCAGGTGCTGCACGAGGACTGCAGCCCCGTGCCCTCATAGCTGGGACTTCAGTGAGCTCCTGTGCCCTTCTTCATTGCCCATCCCCAAAACAGCTGCTGCTCATCCCATCCTCACAGCGGCGTTTCACTGGTAGGAAAGGATCCCTAGAAAGTTGGGAAGCTTTTTGGAGAACACACAGATTAAGAAAATCGACAGGAGTGCCAAGAGCTGGTGGCACTTTTTAGTATTTGTTCTTTTCCAGCACGTTCCAGTTTTCATCTCCTTGCATTTCAATATTGGGGCCAAACAATGGAAGTGACAGAAGTGCCCAGAGCAATCACTGCTCTGCTCCCCTCTCCCAGGGCTTGGAAAGGCACAGTGCACACCGAGGGGCTGCGACAGACCCTGAGACATCTGGTGGGTTGGCAAGGCAGTGCAGCTCTGAGATGCAGAGCGCAGACACAGGCGTGCAGGCAGCCCATGTTCTCCAGTAACAACACATTTCTTCAGTCACTAATTAATCCTGGCAGATGCCTTCTTAACCTAAGCCCAAAATAAGTTGTTTATCTCCCAGGATGCTCTCAAGGCAACAGAGGCTAAAGAGATGACCTGCATTTTAAGTGGGATCCAAGCTAGAAACTGCTGCCCTTTTGTACAACATCCCACCCAGCTCCAAGGCCTGGGCAAACACACTGCATTAATGCTCGTGCCCCCACGTGAGCTGCTCTTCAGAGAGATGCTGAAGTGCTGTGGATTTTGTGATGGGCACAACGCCACCGGATTGATCAGTAGAAGCAAAGACAGCAGCAAGAACCTAAATTTCATTCCTACAAGCTCTTACCCCAGTAGAAGGGTAGGGACTACGTGTACCACAGTGACATGGAAGATGGCAACTCTCCCATCTTCAAGAAAACAATACTAACAATGGATTACACAGACCAGCAGTCAGGAAATCAAGCTCACCTCTCATTCTTTCTAGAAAGAACCACCTGGCTTTGCTTTCATCACCTGCTTCTCACCCCCTCCTTTGCAGCTGCCCATTCCTGGCCAGTCAGCCAGATTCCAGCACAGACCTCCAGGCAGAGCAGATCTAGCACAGGTGCCCCAAGCAAAGCTCTCTCTTCTGCTCATCAATAGGGTTCAGCTCCCACACACAGCTGCACACACTGCTAACAGAAGCTGTCAAGTCAGGGTGCCAGCTGCAATGCTGCTTGTTCAACAGGGGTTATTTTCTGCCTGGATCAGCTCTCCATTCATCACCAGCTCTGCATTCCCAGCATCAGCAGGTCAGCAAATACTAAAGGTGTTGATATTTTTAATCCAGTCATCACAGCTTTCCTATTACCATGGAAATCTTTGAAGGCTTTGTCCAGACAGACAGGCTGTTACAACACCACCTTCCTGAGAATAAGCACAGCTGAAGCCTGCACTCCTATCAGCAGCACAACACTCAGGCAAGAACAGAATCCCCCCTTCCTTTAAGGACCAGTTTCAAATGCCACATTGTTCATTCTGGAAATAAGGATTTGCCTTTTTCTTTTTTTTCTCCCCTAAGTAACAAGGAAGGAAGCAAAACCACCCCTTCTAGCTGAGAGAGGTCAAAACTTTTTTGAATGACCATTCTGGGTTGTCATCACCTACTACCAACACACGAGGTCTCTCTTGGGCTCTTTTTCAACATGCTTCCCCGTTTGCATCCCAGCTTCTTAATTAAATGGTATCTTTCTGCAGACAGTAATTGAGTTACAGTCCCTTCAGTCTGTTAAGGCTACAAAATACAAGTGAAAGTTGTCATGCTTTTTATATCAATGATTTGGTGGCGGGGCATTCGATCTAATTAAAGCACAAAATTAAATTACCCGTTTTTCTGAAGTACTGTAATTGCAAGGCAGTATTTGGAAAACACTGTCAAAAGAAGAGCAGCTATTTGTAACACAGACGACAGCAGATCAGCTCAGTAAGCTCACAGCCTGGTCCAAGGGCACTCACTGCAAACCCTCCAGCCACCCACCTGCATTTCACTCGTGTGTTAAGGCACAGCAGCACATCAGATATCTGAAAGACGTGCTGAGATCACAAGGCTCAGCTCAGCTCCCAGAGCTGCACGTCTCACAGGAGCAATGCACCTCTTATCTCATTACAAGCTGCAGGTCACTGCAAGCACTCCACAAGGGATGTTCACACAGACAGCAGAGCAGCAGGGCAGCAGCCCATCTCATCTCATGCCACAGCACACGGCACGGCTGCCCCTGTGGAAGGCAGCACTGCTGGCGTCCAGATGCCACAACACATGGATTTGTATTCATTTTTCATTTTCTCCAAGGGGTAAAAAAATAATAATTCACTGATCATTGCTAAGGGCATAAAAGAAATAATAGACAAAAAAAAAAGACTTTTTGCAAAACATAAACAGTAACAGGTCCATCTTGAAGGAAAAAAGCTCTGACAGCACCAGCTAGGAGCAGCAGCTCAAAGAGACAGATCTGCAGCTGCTTTCATGCCTGAGTGGGGAAGGTCACACAATAAAACAGCCCTGGAGGAGGAGTTCTGTACTGCAGTCCTGTATGTGTAACCTGGGGACAATACTCTACACTGAAGTTGAGGAACATTAAGAAAGCACTAAGAGTGGAAACACTCCAGGCATGCAACAGGTTTAATGCCAGTGAAAGCAACTGTAAGTTTAAGGAACATTCAGAAGAGCCTCAACAAAAGCAGAACTACGGTGATTCAGCACTACAGTGGAAAATAACAAGAATTCAAACCTTCAACTGCTGTGCTAAAAAGGATATATTTTCTGCTTCTCTTCATTGTATAACACATCCACCAACTGGATAACGTTTTTGTGTCGCAGTCGTCGCAGGAGCTGGATTTCCCTGCAGGAAAAGGAAAAACATCACGTTTTCAAAGCCTATTTCCTTGCTGTGGAGTGAAACTAATGTTTCTAAATCGCATGGGTCGTTACACTTCTGTGTTAGTGACTGTGTATTACGGACTGATTTAGCTTCAACTGAAGGTTACCTCTCTACACTCCTTGAGAGAAGGCTTTGTGTGCTCCTGAGCTCCAGGTTAGCCCATAGCAATGTTCCCTGGGTGCTGGGTACAAGGAGAACCCTCCCCACTAACACCATGCAGGCCCAGGTTCCCCAGCCAGGGATCCTGCTCAGCAGAAGGCAGAAGATAAGCTGCAAAACCCAGGGAAGGTGCCTTGCTGCACCTTGGCAATGGAAACTGACCCCTGGCTGCCATCTCACATCCATCGTTCCGATCTTTGTCACCTGGGATTTTGTACTCTGCCCCAAACCACCAGATTTCGGTACCTTTTACATTCAAGTCACCCTGCAGAACCCCACTGCTGCCAGCTGTAAGGAGGAGAAACAGGAGGATCAGGCTGGGCAGGTCGGAGTGCTCTGGCTGGCAGTGCAGGCACTCAGCTCCGCTCTGCTGCTCCGCTCCAGGCAGCTGCTGAACCACACACCAGCTCCTCTTCCTACCACTGCTAAGTCCCTTAGAAAGGCAGGGCCACGTTTACCAGCCTGCACTGCTGGAAGCAGCACTGCAAGGAACTCAGAGCACAGCTTCAGAAGGCAGAGCTCCTGCCCAAGCACACTGCATGGAGCTCAGAAAGCTCTGCTTGCACAATTAGACCACGTCCAGTAACGAGCCACGACCAGCACAGTGACTTGGTGCTGCACCACGACTGATTAGCAAACCAGTATCAGCTCCTCCAAAGAGCTCATAAGATGCAGGACACAAGCTGGCTTGAAGAATTAGAATAGCTGAACGGAAACCTGGAATAACAAGGTAAAGCTCAGAAGAGTGTTTAGTTTAAATGGCAGACAGATTTGCAAAGTGATGCAGCCGCTCTAATTATAGTAATGACCAAAAGGCCGGAGTGGATTAAATTAGCATAGAGCTGCAGCCAGCATTAGCAGAGCTCTAAGAAGTTTCTGCATAATGAAGGGAGACGGCTGAGCTCAGAGCCAGCAAGGGGCAGAGCAAACACCCCTGTAAGCAGCACTGCGAAGGCAGAGAGCTTCCAATATTAGGAGCACAGTTAAAATCCTCATCCCAGAGGCTCATTCCCTGCAACGCTGCTTGAAAGCTCAGACACCGATTCCTCCCACCTTTAAAAGCCTGATAAATATTTCATACTTCTGCCACTTCTTTCCCCCAGAAGGACACCGTGAACCACCAACCCCAAACAGCAGCGAAGCACAGCCACCTCTGGGGCAGGGGCCAAGCAGCCTGTTTCCCAGAGGAAAGATTACCTCTATTTTTAGTCCCTCTCGCATACTGGAAGGGCTGAGGGATGGAGGCAGCCCGGCCACAGCCACCTCCAACCCCATTTGGCTGCAGAATTTGTTGCTTAAATGGGACCTCGGTGCTTAATTTGCCAGAAGCTGCCTGTGTTTACCTCCCCCCCCCAGCCAACCACAAAGAACAGCCCACCCTGCTGCTTTCTTTGCACTTTGCACTGTGATGTTTCAGTGACAGTGCAGGGAAGGAGACCCATGTGCCTGCAGCTCATCCACGTTTTCAGGGCCTCTCCAGCTGCTGCAACTTCATCTCCTTGTACCTTCTGAAAAGCAACGTGAAATTTCAATTGTAAGCCTTGTTTTGGAGTCATATCTCCCCCAGCAGAGGGAAGGGCTCTTGGTCTGAAGCAGAGCCAGGTGCTTGGGTGCTTCACCACTCTGCACAGAGCCAGGAGGATGGCAGAAGAAAAACCAAACCTAACACAACTGATTGACTTTGTCAGACCACTGTATTTTTTACTGAAAGGAATGAGAAATAAACCTGCTTCCCCAGCAGCTGTTATTAGATTGGTATTATCATGAGGACTGCAAGCTTTCCTACATTTTCATTATGTTTTAATGAATCTACCAGAAAGATTGAACAAGAGAGATGGCGAAATGAGTGCAGCAGTGCTCCCACAGTTACCTGCACCCACAAAAAGGAGCAAGCCCAACTCCTAGAGAGGCCTCTGCTTTGAGGCCATCACTGCTGTACCCACTCACCTCACACTACCGTGTGGCTGCAACAATCTGCAATCCATGCAACTTTGTTCTACTTCTCCAGAGCACGAAGCCCCCCGGCGTACAGCAGGACAGACTGCTGGAACACAGACCCTGATTCAAACCATGAGCATCCTGGAGCAGGGAGGAGAGATCCCCTACATGGAAGGCTCCTGCGCACTGCCAGACGCACTGAGCTCATCCAGACAGACGGAGCCTCACCTCCTTGCTTTGGCAAACAGCAGGGCCTGCTGCTGCTGCTGCCAGAACAAAGCTGCTGCTCATCCTGCATGCCTGGAAGGTGCTGAGAACCCAGCAGTGCCCCTGCATGGAAACCACTGAAGCATCAGGATTCAGCCTTTGTTCCACTGAAGGTTTTTTTTTTTAAACAACTTACAAACTCGTAAAGAAATCCTTATCCACAAAGGCAAGACAGGGCTCACACCCTTTAGAACTACGTTACCTACTCCCCAGTACAAAGCTTTCAGAAGAATTGCCTTCCAGAGGAAAGATGCAGCACAGCCCATCTGAGCTGACGGCCTGCCGGGCTCTGCCTCAAGGTGCCTGAAGGTGCCTGAAGGTGCATTCCCTTCTTTGGGTTCATCAGGCTCCTCCACAGGTGCAAGCTGTTAGGATTCCACTGGTGAACCTTTTCCAGGCAAACCGAGCTTCCCAGAAGCACAGGCCCACAGCAGGTCTGAGCCAGGCAGCTCTCAGTGCCCACCTCAAGGCTCCAGGCCAAGCACGGCGCTCCTCAGCTGTGGGTGAGCACAGCGCTGTGCCACCTCCCCCGTTGGATGGGCAGGCTGGGATGAAGTCAGGCCCAGGCCATGCTGGCCTCCAGCACGCACCCTGCAGCTCGCAGCAAGCCCTTCCTTCAGCAGCGCTCTCAATTTGCAGGCCCACGTAGTGAATCCCCAAATTACAGGCCTGCTGCACATTTTCAGCCTCAGAAGAATTCTAATGAGCATATATTCAAATCTAAGTAATCACCGAGCAGGGTAAGTACAGTACAAGACACTTGGGATATGCACAGAAAGTCCCAAACACTTAATTAAAATGGGAGGCTATTAGCACGCAGTTTTATTAAATTTGTGCTGCTAGAGACAAACACTCCTCCAAATTTTCCTTCATCTTTCTGGCAATCCCACTGAAGTCCTTCCTGGCATGGAGTGGAAGCAGCAACTAGCCACAGCACCAGCTGGTTGACCAAACCACCCCAGCCTCCCTCTGCAGGGACTCAGAGCACGCAGAGCTCCCCACACTGACTTAGGAGATGTATCTCAATCCAGTGTGAGCACTGAGGGCTTACAGAGCTCTTATGGGCTCACCTCCCAGGAGCAGAACTGGATTATTTGTGGGGCTGGAGAAGAATCATCCCACCTGCTAAGATCACCCTACCATGCATTTCAGCCCCAACCCTGTCACTGCACAATGGGAGCCACATCTCCAGCCCAGGCTGCAGTGCCTGCCCTGTGTGCCCAGCCTGGGTGCAGACCTGTCCCACCCCCAGGCTGCACATCACTCCCTGCTCGTCACTGCTCCCTGTGTATTACTTGCTCGTGTAATTACCCAAGAGCTGACAGTCCAGGAACTGTTTTCTAGGGAATTTCTTGGACAACACACTGTTAATAGGAGCTTCGCCTTCACCGCTGCAGCAGCACTGAGGCATCCTGTGATAACTGGATGGGGCACGAGGCCATTATTCTAAATCAATTACATCTCTGCCATACAAACCAAGCCACCACGCAGCAAAGAGCGACACCTGCTAGAAACCGAGGTGGGAGATCAGACTGCTGGAGGAACAAGCTCCATCTTCACAGTTAAGAAAGAAGAGGAAAAGGACAACGAGGTATTTTGAGACTGAAATAGCACAGCCGCTCAGCCCCAGTGCCAGGGCGCTCCAACACGTTAGCAGCACGATGTGAAATGAACCACAGAGAGGAGGATCTGCTTCAGATGCGACTCTGGGACCTGCAGCAAAGCAAACGACTCGACTGAGGGTTCAGGAGCCCCCTCTCATCCACCTCACACAGCCAGAGAGCAGCTGCCTGCACCCTGCCCTGGCAGAACCCCCTGCCTGCACGCAGCGTTGAGGTGCTGGCAAGGCAGCGAGCACGGAGCAGCGCTTCCATGCCAGGGATGGGAGAGGAGATTTCTCATCTCAAAGGACACCAGCTGAAGTCAGGACGTTTGCACAGTTTACACAGCTCGTCACAATCCTATCTGACACGCTCCGTGCTGCAGACACCCTGCTGCAGATAAGGACAGCAGCAGGACTGCAAGTATCACTCGCTAACAGGCATTACGTATTTACTAACGAGTGAAGTAATGAGGAACTTCCAACACAGAACGGGGACAGAATGGTGCTGTTTGGTTCTACGATCTGGTTTTTATTTATTACATGCCAGCAGCTCGCAGGGTGGAAAGCACTCAGTAAAGCTGTTCAAACACAGCTGAAGAAAGCCAAACACCAACGGTGTGCGGCCAAGCAGCGTGACATTAAAAGGGATCACACAGTGCTTTCCAGCACCACCTGGAAATCAAGCTTACCGTGGTCACACGTGTTGTTAAATGCCACCATGTGCTCCCCCCACCCAACCAACAGGGCAGACCAGAAGGGTTTGATGCCTGCTCAGCAGCTCCATTCAAACAGGAGATGGTTCTCCCCGCCTGTCGCAGCAGGGCTGGATGGTTCTGATTTGCTCAGAGTTGTGTTGCAGGGGGGTAATGGCAAAAATACAGCATTTTGTCTTTTAAAAATCACCACTGACCACGCAGAGAATGAATGGGTGGCCTAAGAGAAGGGCAAGGTGACAAGAATAGGAACTTGAGCCCAAGTAAGCCCTCATTAGGAGGCAACATTGAAAACCTGCCTCCGTGCTTTGAAACAAGCAAGGCTGAGCCAGAAAAACATCCACGACCAAACAGAGCAAAACTCAGGTAGTCTGCTTCACTAACTAACCCTAATGAAGGCAAGTCAGACATTTTCAGACAGGCTGCAAAACTTTTACAGGGTTCATTCTGGGACTCAGCACCATCCCCACAGTTCTGCCATCTCCCCTGGTATCTGGGAGCCTGGCTTCACCACCAGGGAGAAAAAAATTGAAGTAAAAAAGAAACCACCTCCTTCTTCTCAGCAGAGCTGTTGATAGAAGTGAAGGGGCAGGGATGGAGCAGGGCGCCCATGCCTCTACCAGAAAAACAAGAAACATTTTTATTACACATTAACCAGCAGTTCACTCTTATTCTGAACTCGAGCCAGCAAAGGGAGGTCCCAGCACCGAGCCCTGCGCCTGTTTTGTCACCATGCCTGGCACAGAAGGTTAGAAGGCAAACCCCAGGAGCTGACACGAGGTACAGGACGTGAAGTATCTCACAGCTGAGCTCACGGACTCGAACCAAACTGAGACACAGAAACAAGACTCTGCTGGGTCAGAGCGCTGCGCTCAGCACGTCGCAGCTCAGGGCGCAGCACAAGAGTCCTCCAAACACCCCCAGCTCTCCCTCCTGCGAGGAGATAAGCCCCGAGCAAACTGCTGTGGCTGCAGGAGGGCTCTCCCCTCCCAGCAGATAAACAGCCACCTCTCGGGGCTGTAACAAACAGCTTGCTGTGGGAAAAAGGCTGCGAGGTCTTGGAGTGCAGGGCACAATGCTGCTGAAAGGGAAAGTTCCACCTAACGAGTCCCGCAAATGAAGCATAACGCTAGGCTGCTCCCCACAGAATGTTTTAATTAGTTACTTGTGCCCTGATTAATCAGTACGTAACCGGCACTTGGAAAACCTTCCAAGCACAGATCTTGAGTCACTGAAAAGAGGTTGACAGCCCTTGTCTCTATTTTACAGCTGCAGAAATGAACTGAAAAGAGCCTTGAATTGCTTCCTAAACTCATTAGCCAGAAGAGAATCCAAGAATAAAACCCAAGGCTTGCTATGCCCCCAACGCACGGGATCGCATCCCAGCACTGACGTGGGTGGCAGCAATCACTGCCTGAAGAGTTTGAGAGCACACAGCCACGGCCCAGTGCTGCTGCACTCCCATTCAGCTGAAGGAGCCCTTGAAGCTGAGCTCTCTGCCCCTGTCCCAGCCAGGACAAGGTTAGGAGCCCTCAGCCACGCAGCTGAGGATGGAGAGCATTCCTTAATACCTACACCTTGTCAAGCATTTCCAAAACACAAAGCTACGTGGTTAGTTCAAACGATGCAGAACTTCAGCTGGAAAATAAAGACCAAAGTTTAACCCCCCTCGCTTCCCAGCTACCAGAAGCATTTACTCACTTTTTCACGTTTGCCTCCCCGTTGGGAATTCTGCGTAGCTTCTTCTTCTTCAGAATTTTCACAGCTCTCCTACAGAGGGTTTCAGAGTCCAGCATCTCCTTCACTTTGCCATAAGATCCTTCTCCAAGCAAGTCTCCCATCAAGTACTTGCCGATGAGCTTGGCCCTTTTCCGCCGTGGCTGGTAGATGACTTCAGTAGAGTCGATGCGATGGATAAAAGTGTCCATCCCCACAGACATCAGCTCGCTCTCTCCAAACATACCCAGCTGCTGAGGCTCCTGCATATCCATCCTGGATTAAGTTCCTTAACCTGTCTTCCTTAAGCGCTCAGGGTTTTAATCCTGTTTGTTTGTTTCCAACACTCCCTTTTACTCCTTCTTGAAAAAAAACATCCAGAAGATTGTACAAACATTAATTAAAAAAACAAAACAAAACGAGAAAACAAAACAAACTACGAGCTGCTTCCAGCTCAAGTGGATGCTAAAAGATCCAGGTCTGCTCCAGTAACGCGTCTCTTAAGAAGAATATATAGCTCTGACCAGACACAATCAGGTTGGGACTCGCTTTTGCTCCTGGCCTGGTCCCACCTCTAGGGTTCTTTCAAGTCACCTCGGCCTTTCACTTGGCCCAGTTTGTGAAGGTAAGTGCTAGGTCATCCTGGGGACCTCAGATCGTCACATAAAACAGACCACTGCCAAGTCTCGTTCGTGGCTTTCCATTCCCAGCACAGCACAGGCACCAGCTCCCAGCAGGATGGCGGGGGAAGCACTCCTGCCCTGCAGCCTTCACCTTCCGAGCACTAGAGCAGACGTTGGGGCTTTTTTCAGCCGTTTGGAAGCTGGAACCAGGTTTCTTTGAAAGAGTTTTCAGAAACAATTCTAATTTCTTCGCTTTTCACGCCTACAAAAGTTTGAGGCCTTCGGTGCCTATTGAGATCTCCCAGGGGCATCCTTCAGCCACCTGGATTGCGCCTGGCACATGATGTGTCACCGCTGCTGTTCCCAGGCTCAGCGGGCGTTGGACAGCCAAACCCCACCGGCAGAAAGCCAAACCCCGGAGCTGCGCGGGCACAACGAGGTGCGGGACGGCTCAAGAGGCAGCAAACCTCTGCGCCAGGTGCTCCCAGCGCCCCATTCCCTGCCCAAAGGAAGGAGATGCGGGTAGAGGGACGGACTCTTCGCGGGCCACTCCACAGGTATCGGCAGGGCCGGAGAAACAGAGCAGAGCCTCCGACAAGAGGGAAGGAGGGAGGCGGGAGCCGAACGCTCTGCACGCTGCCGGGCCGCGGGGCTGAGGGGACGCTGCCGCCGGGGACCGGGCCCCGCGAGCGGCCCAGGGAAGGCCCTTCCCCGTGCGCCGGAGACGCTCCCTCAGCGCCGGGCCCCGCGCTGCGCCGCCGACACGGGGAACGGAGCGGGGAGCCCGGCGGCCTCGTCCTCCCTCCCCGCTCCCGGGCCTCGGACCGGGCCGGGCCCCGGCGCCGCGCTCCCCTGGCGTCCACCCGTCTCAGAGGAATCCCCACCGGCCACTGTCCCCGCTCTGCCCTCGCGGACTCGCCTCAGGGCCCGCTCCAGCCGAACCGCGCCCCTTTACCCCCTCCGCCGCCGCCGCAGCGCGCACGCCGCCGCCATTTTGTTTACCTCCCGCCCCCGCCCGGCCCCGCCGCGCTCCCGCCGTTGCCCCCCCCCCGGGCCTTGCGCCTCCCTGGCGACCGACGTCCGCGCCGATTGGCCTCCGCGCCGGCCCCGCCCCCGAGAGCTCGTTCTCTGATTGGCTGCGGTCCTGCCACGAGGAGGCGGAGCCGGCCCAGCGGCTTTCGCTTCCGGTTGGCTCGCGGAGTTTCCAGCCCGCCCTTTCACTCGGGTAGAGGGAAGCGCGCCGTGATAGGCTGAGGAAGCTGTCCGTCAGTGCTGTCGGCCGTAGGGGGCAAAGGGCAAAGGGCGAAGGGCGAAGGGAAGTGGTTGCCATGGAGACGGGTGGAGGAGGGAGTGGCGCCGCGCATTGGGCCTGGGCCTGGACCGCCGCGCCCTGGTCGTTCCGGGCGGGGCCTGCTGTGCAGCCCGTCCTTAGCGCTGCGCAAACCCTCCGGAACCACAGCCCGTCCTAATCCCTACGTTCGGTGCTAAACGTAACGCGCAAAACCCTTGCCGTGCGTGCAGGAATTCTGTCAGCAGAAGGGGCCCCTCTTCCCCCGCCGTGCTGCCCTCACGTACTGCCGCCATCGGCCGCCAAGGGCCGTTCTCGTGAGCACCGAGGAGTCCAGCACCCATCAGGCAGTCTCAACGTGGACTCTGTGCTCTTGGACATTAACAAATAGCAGATGGTAAACAGCTCAGTGCTGCCTTTATCTGTAGCCCTCAGAGGTGAAGCAGGGAATCAGCAGCCCTGAAATGAGGCCAGCATTGGGCTGAAGGGCAGCAGCTGCTTTCTGCTGTGTGCTGTCACTGTGCTACAGTCCTCTGCTTCTGGCCAGAAACAAAAACAGGAGAGGTTTGGATGAGTCAGAGGAGGTTCATGTGCATGGCAGCGTCCTCCAGGTGTCCACCTGGCTGCTGGAGGAGGACCCGGCCAATGAGTCTCCCACACTGCTAAACCCCGCAGTTCACCACGTCTGTCCTCCCCAACTGTCTGTCCCGACATTCTCGGGACAAAGGTGCTGTTAGTGCTGCTGTGCCTGGCTGTGTTCTCATTGCATCACTCCTTCACACCCTATCCTGACCTTTTGGCCATTTTCTTCTCTCGCAAGGACGTTATCGCCTTTCTCCTTGCTGGATCCCAGCAGCAGCATCTCAAGAGCACCACAGAGCGGCAAGAGCTGCCACCTCCTGGCCGAGCTCGTGGGCCTGCAGGGCTCCGTGTGTCCCAGCTTCAGCTTCCTCATGCCGGTGTCCCCACCTGTCCTTGCTCTGAGGCCCCTCGCATCCAAGAGCCCTGCAGAGCCTACCTTCACTCAGTTGCTCCCAGAGGCTCTGTCCTGGAAATGGCATCACCTCCAGCTGTTGCCATCTGCTTTTGGACAGTGTTAGAAAAAAAGTGCAGAAACCATTGGAAAAAGCTTTTCCAATATGTCCCATATAGTGGTTCCCTTGGGGTAAGTTGAGATTTTTGTTTGTTGGTAGAAGTTGACATTTTCGTTCTTCTGAGTTTTGCACTGAGGGGTATTTTAACCCCTTCTTCTGGAAGTGATTAAGCTCCATAGAAATCTCTATTTTTATTTAAAAAATAAGAGCAGCCTTCCAGCATACATGGCCATACACACAAGTGAGCTCAGTGAACACCACAAGAAGAACAAAGAGGGAAACCAGCAAGGTAGCACTGGGCTCCATGAGCCCCTCTCCATCTCTGAGCAGAAGGAGCTCAGGGCTGAGGACAAGAGACCGAGACAGGATCATAGAACGCTTGCACAGAAGGAGGCACAGCTGCCCCAGGACCAACAGCTCTGCATTCTCCCTGCCTCAGGGCCCTGTAACACTGTGCTTGTCTCTGCTCCCTTATAGGCTTCTCTCATGATAGTGCCTGGCCACATGTGATTTACTTCGATCTTGGCATGAAGTCCACAGTGCTGGAAAGCGATCACCCAAATTCTGGTAAATGCTGTGCTTCCCCTTCCCAAGAGGGCCGGGTTCCCAGCAGCACAAGGGCAGGATCGATTGGAAAACATCCACACAAAAGAACCCCGGATAGGAGCAGCTCCCACTGCCTCCTTTGCAGCTCCTACCGGGCTGCATCAGCTGCGCTCTGCCCCCAGGAGGTGACACTCCAGGAAGGGACTCCAGGGGGGTGACACTCCAGGGCTGAGGGGGCTTTACAGATCCCTCTGATGGTCTGGCACACACCAGCCCACACCCCCAGAGCTGTGGCTCCATTCTCCGCCTCTGTGCTGTCCCTTGTTAAAGCTGTAGGGCAGCATTGGCCCAGCTGGGTCCAGGGTACCCCAACCCAGTGGAAAGTCAGGGGATTTCCAGGCTGTGGGAAGAAACAGGAACTCAGTGCACGCACTGTGGCCAAACACCCTGACATGGCCGCAGCAACGACCCTGTAGCATGCTTGCAAGCCAGCACTGCTGGATCGGGGCCCTGATGTTCGTGTCTCTGATCCTGCTCCCCCAGGACCTGCTGTCCCCCAGAGGTCCAGCTGCCTGGGAAAGGCTTCTTCTGGGGAAGGCAGAGCACTTCCCAGGGATGCTGCTTGGGATCATAGACAAAGGTGCTTGGCACAAAGCCCATCACTGACTGCAGCAGGGGCTGTGCTGCAGCCTCATGCTCACAGGGGGGCTTTCCTTTGTGGTGCTGCTGTCTCCTCGTACAGCAACAACAACACTCACCCCAGCACAACCTCACGGAGGCATGTGCTAGTCCTTCCCTTCCTAATCCAGAGGCGGTCATTAGGATAGAGGCTTTCAGTGCTCCCTTGCTCCTCAGGAAGCTTTTAGGGGTTGGGAGGGGTCTGCAGGGTCATCAGGTTCATGTCTGAAATGGGAACTGGGGTGAGAAGTGGAAAGGAGGCGAGCGCTGTGTCATGGCCCCGACTGCTGGGATGGCACTGATCACAGGAGGAGGCTGGAGGGATCTGTGCTGGTTCTTCCTTTGTTTGCTTTGTTCACAGTTGTATCATACTAAACAAATAACTCTGGGGGATTTTAAGCCATAGAAATTCATGACTGTAGGGCAATTGTTGAGTCCCAGCCTGAACCATTGATTGAGCACCCGGGGAAAAGACCCAGTCAGCCCTGAGAGCACAAGTGAAGGCAATTCATCTGTGCAACCCAGAAGGGCTGGAGCCTGACTGTACCTCTCTTAGACCGCATTTAAGGGCTGACTGCCCCAGAAAAGGATTTCTTCCTAGAGATCCCTTCTTGGTGAAGTTTTCCCCTACGAACCTAGAATCTTCTCATGCAGGTGAGCAATTTTCTTCCCTTTCTTTCTAGCACCTTTCTGTTTTGCTGGTCCTTTCATCATCACACCTTTGTTGTAATGCCTTTCCCGTTGGACTGATCTGTCCCATTGCTACAGCGACTAATGGAGCTACAGCAATTGTTCTCATGGAGCCCATGTCCTCAAGGGAACAAGCAGAGCACTGCAGGGCAGTGCTACCTGTAAGAGGTTCTTTGGTGCTACTTTGGTGCCTGCGGCAGCATGGGGTGAGTCAGAGCAGGAGGAGGTGTTCAAGGTGTGACTTGAGAGTCAGAATCTCTCATGTTAAGCTCTGGAGAATGGATATTTAAAAACAAAACAAAACAACTCAAATGTGACACAACTGCCTTGATTAATGCACACAGGTGAATGAAGCGTTCTGAGAGCAGTGCATGTTAACAAGAGCCACAACGTGACCTTTAGGTCTGAGCAGGACAAAGAGAACTGCCGTTGGGCTGGGCAAGGGCTGGCTAAGGGCCACATCCCCAGCTGTGGTGTCTCAGGGTGCAGTGCTCAGAGGCTGTTCTGCTCCCCCTGTGGCAGGAGCCCAGCATTCAGAGGCTGCAGATAGAGGCGGCTCTGCTCTGCTGGCACCTCCCTTCTGGGAATCAGCCGGACACAGCCCTGCTCTGAAGATGCCAATGCAAAAATAGCCTTATCTGGAGTGTTTCTTTACGTGACCCCGTGGGGACTTTTGTTCTCGTTGTCCTGGGACTGAACCGGGGCAAAGATCCAACAGAAACAATTAAAAAAAGCTTTAGGAACGGGCGGGAGGCGTCGGGCAGCCTGGGGGAGTAGGAGGGGGGCAGAGCCGCTCCTCCCTCGGGGCTGCGGCGCTCCCGGGGTTCAGCACTTCACCTCTCCGCTGTCCCACAGCGCGCAACAGCCGCCCCCATCCCCACCTCGCAGGTGGGAGTAGCGGGGCGAAGGAGGAAGACCCCCGCGGTCTCCGGGAGGCGGCCGGCCGGCCAGCCCACAGCCGCTCCACGCGCCCGGCCATGCCGGCGCAGCCCGGGACCGCCGCCTCACCCTGCGGAACTTCCGCCTTCCAGGGGTGGCGCCCTCCGCCCACTTCCGCCCGGAAGTCCGTGTCCCTCCCCCAAAATGGCGGCCTCTGAGGGCGAGCCAGGAGGCGGCGGTGGTCGCCGGGCGGGAGCCTGAGCCCCCCACGCAGGTAAGGGCCGGGGGCACGGGGTGGGGGCTGGCTCTTTGTGGAGCTCCTGTTCTCGGCGGGCGGAGGCCTCCGGTATTGAGGAGCATTGCGGGAGCTCGGGGCTGCTCCCTCTGCTCCGTTCCGGCGGGCGCTGGTCCGTGTCCGGCGGGTCGGATGTGAGGGGAAAGTCCTCCCCTGGGAGCTGGTGAGGCTCCGACACCGCCCGGAGCTGCGCTGTC